TATCAGTGAATAGAGAGAACGTCTCAAATATCTATATTATAGCTGACATTGTATTTCTTGCATAGATACTGTGGACAATAGTATCAGTGAATAGAGAGAACGTCATGGCACTGTGTCCAATAGTATCAGTGAATAGAGAGAACACCTCAAATATTTATGTTATAGCTTACATTGTACACATGTATTTCTTGCATAGATACTATGGACAATAGTATCAGTGAATAGAGGGAACGTCTCATATATTTATGTTATAGCTTACATTATATTTCTTGCATAGATACTGTGGACAACAGTATCAGTGAATAGAGAGAACGTCTCATATATTTTTATTATAGCTTACATTATATTTCTTGCATAGATATTGTGGACAATAGTATCAGTGAATAGAGAGAACGTCTCAAATATTTATATTATAGCTTCCATTATATTTCTTGCATAGATACTGTGTCCAATAGTATCAGTGAATAGAGAGAACGCCTCAAATATTTATGTTATAGCTTACATTATACACATGTATTTCTTGCATAGATACTGTGGACAATAGTATCAGTGAATAGAGGGAACGTCTCATATATTTATGTTATAGCTTACATTATATTTCTTGCATAGATACTGTGGACAATAGTTTCATCGAATGGAGAGAACGCCTCAAATATTTATGTTATAGCTTACATTATACACATGCATTTCTTGCATAGATACTGTGGACAATAGTATCAGTGAATAGAGGGAACGTCTCAAATATTTATATTATAGCTTACATTATATTTCTTGCATAGATACTGTGGACAATAGTATCATCGAATAGAAAGAACGTCTCAAATATTTATATTATAGCTTACATTATATTTCTTGCAAAGATATTGTGGAAAAACAGTATCAGTGAATAGAGGGAACGTCTAAAATATTTATATTATAGCTTACATTATATTTCTTGCATAGATACTGTGGACAATAGTATCAGTGAATAGAGAGAACTTCTCAAGTATTCATATTATAGCTTACATTATATTTCTTGCATAGATACTGTGGACAATAGTATCAGTGAATAGAGGGAAATGCTCAAATATTTATATTATAGCTTACATTATATTTCTTGCATAGATACTGTGGACAATAGTATCAGTGAATAGAGAGAACGTCTCATATATTTTTATTATAGCTTACATTATATTTCTTGCATAGATATTGTGGACAATAGTATCAGTGAATAGAGAGAACGTCTCAAATATTTATATTATAGCTTCCATTATATTTCTTGCATAGATACTGTGGACAATAGTATCAGTGAATAGAGAGAATGTCTCAAATATTTATATTATAGCTTACATTATATTTCTTGCATAGATACTGTGTCCAATAGTATCAGTGAATAGAGAGAACGCCTCAAATATTTATGTTATAGCTTACATTATACACATGTATTTCTTGCATAGATACTGTGGACAATAGTATCAGTGAATAGAGGGAACGTCTCATATATTTATGTTATAGCTTACATTATATTTCTTGCATAGATACTGTGGACAATAGTATCATCGAATAGAGAGAACGCCTCAAATATTTATGTTATAGCTTACATTATACACATGTATTTCTTGCATAGATACTGTGGACAATAGTATCAGTGAATAGAGGAACGTCTCAAATATTTATATTATAGCTTACATTATATTTCTTGCATAGATACTGTGGACAATAGTATCATCGAATAGAGAGAACGTCTCATATATTTATATTATAGCTTACATTATATTTCTTGCATAGATATTGTGGACAACAGTATCAGTGAATAGAGAGAACGTCTCAAATATTTATATTATAGCTTACATTATATTTCTTGCATAGATATTGTGGACAATAGTATCAGTGAATAGAGAGAACGTCTCAAATATTTATATTATAGCTTACATTATATTTCTTGCATAGATACTGTGGACAACAGTATCAGTGAATAGAGGGAACGTCTAAAATATGTATATTATAGCTTACATTATACACATGTACTTCTTGCATAGATACTGTGGACAATAGTATCAGTGAATAGAGGGAACGTCTAATATATTTATGTTATAGCTTACATTATATTTCTTGCATAGATACTGTGGACAACAGTATCAGTGAATAGAGAGAACGTCTCAAATATCTATATTATAGCTGACATTGTATTTCTTGCATAGATACTGTGGACAATAGTATCAGTGAATAGAGAGAACGTCATGGCACTGTGTCCAATAGTATCAGTGAATAGAGAGAACACCTCAAATATTTATGTTATAGCTTACATTGTACACATGTATTTCTTGCATAGATACTATGGACAATAGTATCAGTGAATAGAGGGAACGTCTCATATATTTATGTTATAGCTTACATTATATTTCTTGCATAGATACTGTGGACAACAGTATCAGTGAATAGAGAGAACGTCTCAAATATCTATATTATAGCTTACATTGTATTTCTTGCATAGATACTGTGGACAATAGTATCAGTGAATAGAGAGAACGTCATGGCACTGTGTCCAATAGTATCAGTGAATAGAGAGAACACCTCAAATATTTATGTTATAGCTTACATTATACACATGTATTTCTTGCATAGATACTGTGGACAATAGTATCAGTGAATAGAGGGAACGTCTCATATATTTATGTTATAGCTTACATTATATTTCTTGCATAGATACTGTGGACAATAGTATCATCGAATAGAGAGAATGTCTCAAATATTTATGTTATAGCTTACATTATATTTCTTGCATAGATACTGTGGACAATAGTATCAGTGAATAGAGAGAATGTCTCAAATATTTATATTATAGCTTACATTATATTTCTTGCATAGATATTGTGTCCAATAGTATCAGTGAATAGAGAGAACGCCTCAAATATTTATGTTATAGCTTACATTATACACATGTATTTCTTGCATAGATACTGTGGACAATAGTATCAGTGAATAGAGGGAACGTCTCATATATTTATGTTATAGCTTACATTATATTTCTTGCATAGATACTGTGGACAATAGTATCATCGAATAGAGAGAACGCCTCAAATATTTATGTTATAGCTTACATTATACACATGTATTTCTTGCATAGATACTGTGGACAATAGTATCAGTGAATAGAGGGAACGTCTCAAATATTTATATTATAGCTTACATTATATTTCTTGCATAGATACTGTGGACAATAGTATCATCGAATAGAGAGAACGTCTCAAATATTTATATTATAGCTTACATTATATTTCTTGCAAAGATATTGTGGAAAAATAGTATCAGTGAATAGAGAGAACGTCTCAAATATTTATATTATAGCTTCCATTATATTTCTTGCATAGATACTGTGTCCAATAGTATCAGTGAATAGAGAGAACGCCTCAAATATTTATGTTATAGCTTACATTATACACATGTATTTCTTGCATAGATACTGTGGACAATAGTATCAGTGAATAGAGAGAAGTTCTCAAATATTTATATTATAGCTTACATTATATTTCTTGCATAGATATTGTGGACAATAGTATCATTGAATAGAGAGAACGTCTCATATATTTACACTTTGGATAAACTCATGACTAAGCGAAAGGTGCTGATAAACCTTAAAACAAAACTGATACAAACCAGGATTCGAACCCACAACTAAAGGTTTCTGGCATGCCTGAGTGACAGATCTGAACAGTGAATCATGGTGCGTTAGATGACATGGCCACACATGTGTTTTAATTAATATAACATAGGAGCCATAATACTATTTTCAATGTCAGTATATATATCAAGGTTACTGGTCAGGGAATCATACCAAACCTCTTAAGTTATGGGAACTCATATTCGTTAACAATGCCTTTAAATAGTCATAGGCCAAAGATGGCTTTGTCAAACAGGACACTTGTCTATATTTCTTTCATGAAATATTTTGTCATCTGAATGGTGTTGAAAAGTCAGTAATATTCAATATCCATGACAGGAGACTTTATGTAATGCAATACAGATCAAGCATTGTTAAATGATAAACAAGATAACAGTTCTTCACTAGTCAAAATCCAAATTTTGTAAAACAATGGTAAGTCAATTATGCTCAGCTGAAAACAGCCCATTTACTGAAATGCGGCAAAAAGGCAATTTTGACTAAAGGAAGAGGTCAGCAATTTTGACTTAAGGAAGAGGTCAGCAATTTTGACTAAAGGAAGAGGTCAGCAATTTTGACTAAAGGAAGAGGTCAGCAATTTTGGAAATATTAATAAATGATAATTCAAAGAGATGAACTTATTTGGCAATTATGGTGGATTTTAAGATAGGTATACAATTCGCTGAGGTGAAAAATATCACACAGACCAAGACCGACCTAAAATATTAAAAAAACACAGACACCATCATCATGGCATGTCTCAAAGTAATAACAGAGCTGTGAGTCTGACACATAAAATATGGAAGTTGATTCAGGCAAAACAAAGTGTCAAGAGGCTGATGAAGAAAACAAAATGAAGAAAAAGACTGACTGAGTTTGGTTTTACGGAGCTTTTAGCAAACAAAAAGAACAAATGTAGGGAGGGAGGGAAGGAGGGTAATTAAATTTTTATAAAAACATGAGGGAAAAAGACGTACATGCAGGGCCAGATGGGACGGAAAGGAGAGGACGCATGCATGGTAGAGGACAAAACAGAAATTCTGGTTGTTATGCAAATTGGACATCATGACATCATGACACATGATTCTGCAGTGAGCCGACTGACCTGAGTGAGTGAGCTTAGATTTACGCCGCACTCAGCAATATTCCAGCTATATGGTGGCGGTCTGTAAATAATCAAGTCTGGACAAGACAAACCAGTGATCAACAGCATGAGCATCGATCTCCGCAATGGGGAACCGATGACATGTGTCAACCAAGTCAACGAGCCTGACCACCCGATCCCGTTTGTCGCCTCTTACGACGAGCATGGGTTACTGAAGATCAATATTCTAACCCGGATCTTCAAGGGTCCACTGACCTGATCTGGTAGCTGATCTGACAGCCGCTATCATTAGCGGTTCTTCGTCTTCATCTACAATACTCTCAAGAGGTGTGCCCTTCTTCAAGAGAGTGATGGCAAGTCGGACACCAAAGCCATGCAAGTCCACATCACTCATGGACCCAAGCATAGTGGATATACGTATATCTGCTGTTGGCAGGGTGGCCGCTCGGCCGTCAAGTGGCGACCAGGGTCCATTCCTTGGCTGGATAAGAAGATCCACACCCCGCCATTCATTCTGTTTGACAAGGAGGTCCAACACTTGGGTCCAGAACTGCGAATATTCTGGGATGTCGATGCCATCACAGTGTGTGCTGTCTGAAGAACCAACACATATGCTCTTTTCTGTTTGGTGTCCCACTATGTAAAGCTACCAAATCTTGGGCATTGCAACAAATCAACGAAAGAAAAGATATTACACATTATTGGCCATTAATGAATCAATTTTGAGTCAATACTTTCAAGAAAAGAATTCCTGAATAAAGATGATTGGATCTTTTGCATGTTGCCTCAGTTACAGTTATATGGCCATGCTGGATAGCCAATATTCAAAATCAAATTTTAGGTAGACTAAGGCTTAGTCTCTGAATATATATAATTTTGATAGTAACAAACAAGCCCATCTAAATTGAAAAGGAGCCTCAGGCAGACCAGAGATCCTGAACCTGAGGAATTCTAGACTTGCTTTATTTAGGGCTTTAGCACTGCAGAGAGGGCTTGGCAGTAGGGAAAATACTGTGGTTCAGGGACTGTGAGACAGATTAACTTTTAGGTAGCACCTCCAAAGCTGATGCTAATTATGTTTGGGGCAGATTGCAGGTATGTAAAGTTTTTTTCTGATAAAATACATTTTGCAATATGCTACAATACAAATAAGTAGATAACATAATATAAATAAATATATTTCATCCTTGAAATGCATACCATCACTTTGGTCATGGTCACAAGCAAATAACGTAAATAGACATGAAAACTGAAAAAACATTTTGCCAGCTAATGAACCTTCTTTAGCTATTATATGTTCTCTCATCATGTATTTTCCATTATCCATTCATAAAAGTGTGCTGAGACTGGACTTTTTCTTTTTTTAAATGTATCTAAAGATGTCAGTAAAAAGTAGTCATTTCATATTTCTACTGGGAATAGACTCATGGCTGACATTATATAAAACTGGTTGCTTTTCATTAAAACTTTATCAGGTAATTAACACCTCAAATGTTTAGTTTGTATTCTTGGAATCAGCAGCTCAAATCTTGAAAAACCTGGAATTAATACCTAAAACACTTACCTTGTAAACTTGGAATGATGGTTGCCAGTTTTGCAAAATAGTGCACCCTGTCATCATCTAAATTCTTGATGTCATCTATCAAAGTACGGAAGATAGATGTTGGATCTTGTTGGCCATTGGAACACATCTAGAGGAAGAACATACATGCACCAACATTGTCAGAGGAGTCTGTAGCCTACACAGAACACATCAACAATACAGTCAGAGGGGTCTGTAGCCTACACAGAACACATCAAGAATACAGTCTGAGGGGTCTGTAGCCTACACAGAACATATCAACAATACAGTCAGAGGGGTCTGTAGCCTACACAGAACACATCAACAATACAGTCTGAGGGGTCTGTAGCCTACACAGAACATATCAACAATACAGTCAGAGGGGTCTGTAGCCTACACAGAACACATCAACAATACAGTCTGAGGGGTCTGTAGCCTACACAGAACATATCAACAATACAGTCAAAGGGGTCTGAAGCCAACACAGAACACACCTAGAGGAAAAGATACATGCAACAGTACAGTCAGAGGGGTCGGTAGCCTACACAGAACACACCTACAGGACAGGATACATGCCACAAGACAGTGAGAGGGGTCTGTTGCCAACACAGAACACATCTACAGGACAGGATACATGCCACAAGACAGTGAGAGGGGTCTGCAGCCAACACAGAACACAGCTAGAGGACAGGATACATGCCACAAGACAGTCAAAGGGGTCTGAAGCCAACACAGAACACACCTAGAGGACGGGATACATGCCACAAGACAGTGAGAGGGGTCTGTTGCCAACACAGAACACACCTAGAGGAGGGGATACACGCCACAAGACAGTAAGAGGGGTCTGTTGCAACACAGAACACACCTGCAGGACAGGATACATGCCACAAGACATTGAGAGGGGTCTGTAGCAAACACAGAACACAGCTAGAGGACAGGATACATGCCACAAGACAGTCAAAGGGGTCTGAAGCCAACACAGAACACACCTACAGGACGGGATACACGCCACAAGACAGTTAGAGGGGTCTGTTGCCAACACAGAACACATCTACAGGACAGGATACATGCCACAAGAGAGTGAGAGGGGTCTGTTGCCAACACAGAACACATCTACAGGACAGGATACATGCCACAAGACAGTGAGAGGGGTCTGCAGCCAACACAGAACACACCTAGAGGACGGGATACATGCCACAAGACAGTGAGAGGGGTCTGCAGCCAACACAGAACACATCTACAGGACAGGATACATGCCACAAGACAGTGAGAGGGGTCTGTAGCCTACACAGAACACATCTACAGGACAGGATACATGCCACAAGACAGTGAGAGGGGTCTGCAGCCAACACTGAACACATCTACAGGACAGGATACATGCCACAAGACAGTGAGAGGGGTCTGCAGGCAACACAGAACACATCTACAGGACAGGATACATGCCACAAGACAGTGAGAGGGGTCTGTAGCCAACGCAGAACACATCTACAGGACAGGATACATGCCACAAGACAGTGAGAGGGGTCTGTTGCCAACACAGAACACATCTACAGGACAGGATACATGCCACAAGACAGTGAGAGGGGTCTGTTGCCAACACAGAACACACCTAGAGGACGGGATACATGCCACAAGACAGTGAGAGGGGTCTGTTGCCAACACAGAACACAGCTAGAGGACAGGATACATGCCACAAGACAGTGAGAGGGGTCTGTAGCCAACACAGAACACACCTAGAGGACAGGATACAAACCACAAGACAGTCAAAGGGGTCTGAAGCCAACACAGAACACACCTACAGGGCGGGATACACGCCACAAGACAGTGAGAGGGGTCTGTAGCCTACAGAGAACACACCTACAGGACAGGATACATGCCACAAGACAGTCAGAGGGGTCTGTTGCCAACACAGAACACACCTAGAGGACAGGATACAAACCACAAGACAGTCAAAGGGGTCTGAAGCCAACACAGAACACACCTACAGGGCGGGATACACGCCACAAGACAGTGAGAGGGGTCTGTAGCCTACAGAGAACACACCTACAGGACAGGATACATGCCACAAGACAGTCAGAGGGGTCTGTTGCCAACACAGAACACACCTACAGGACAGGATACATGCCACAAGACAGTGAGAGGGGTCTGCTGCCAACACAGAACACATCTACAGGACAGGATACATGCCACAAGACAGTGAGAGGGGTCTGCAGCCAACACAGAACACACCTAGAGGACGGGATACATGCCACAAGACAGTGAGAGGGGTCTCCAGCCAACACAGAACACATCTACAGGACAGGATACATGCCACGAGACAGTGAGAGGGGTCTGTAGCCTACACAGAACACATCTACAGGACAGGATACATGCCACAAGACAGTGAGAGGGGTCTGCAGCCAACACAGAACACATCTACAGGACAGGATACATGCCACAAGACAGTGAGAGGGGTCTGTAGCCAACACAGAACACATCTACAGGACAGGACACATGCCACAAGACAGTGAGAGGGGTCTGTAGCCTACACAGAACACATCTACAGGACAGGATACATGCCACAAGACAGTGAGAGGGGTCTGCAGCCAACACAGAACACATCTACAGGACAGGATACATGCCACAAGACAGTGAGAGGGGTCTGTTGCCAACACAGAACACACCTAGAGGACAGGATACATGCCACAAGACAGTGAGAGGGGTCTGTTGCCAACACAGAACACATCTACAGGACAGGATACATGCCACAAGACAGTGATAGGGGTCTGTTGCCAACACAGAACACATCTACAGGACAGGATACATGCCACAAGACAGTGAGAGGGGTCTGCAGCCAACACAGAACACATCTACAGGACAGGATACATGCCACAAGACAGTGAGAGGGGTCTGTAGCCAACACAGAACACATCTAGAGGAAAGAATACATGCAACAATACAGTCAAAGGGGTCTGTAGCCTACACAGAACATATCTAAAGGACAGGATACATGACACAAGACAGTCAAAGGGGTCCGTAGCCAACACAGAACACAGCTAGAGGACAGGATACATGCCACAAGACAGTGAGAGGCGTCGGTAGCCTACACAGAACACACCTACAGGACAGGATATTCTCCCTGAAAATCATCATGAGAATTTAGGAACAGGGCCAAGAGCAATTGTCAAACACAAACCACATTTTAAGATACTGCGAAAAACAGAACATATGTTTTGAGAACCATTATTAAGTATACACATATTGCAAATTTATTTAGAGTTTGAAAATAAAGCCTGAAAAAGGTCCATACAAATTTAACTTATTATGGTCTGTGCTTGCAGGTTGGCTGAAGTGCAAAGTTCAAACTTGGGTTAATATAATATTAACAAGTGTTTGCCACTGATATGGCAATGTCCCCTGCCGCTATGGAATGGAATATCTATATTTACTACTTTATATTTTTTGGTCAAATACAAGATGCCTAAAATGACTGGCGTCTGCACAATCACCCAATGTTGGCTGTCGACATAATTGAAAACATTGGGTGCATTGTTTTATGAGATATTGCGTTTAAATAAGTTTGAAAAGTACTTAATGCGTTGTGGTAATCTTGAAAATAAGGTCAAAGTCACCCAAATCAACTGTTGTCGGCATAATTCCCCAATGTAGGCTGTCACCAAGTTTGGTATCACCAACAGTCCATGAGATATCGCGTTAAGAAGAGTTTGAAAAGTGGTCAAAGCGTTGTGGTGACCTTGCAAATAAGGTCAAGGTCACCCAAATAGACTGGTGTCTGCTTAATCCCCCAATGTAGGCTGTCACCAATTTGAAGACATTGGGTACAACAGTTCATGAGATGGCGCGTTAACAAAAATCGGGACGTACGTACCGATATGGACCCCGCTGAATACATAGTCCCCCGTTCCGCGTTGCCGCGGGGGACAACTATCAAAAACCACTCTGGAACAGACATGTAGACCCCCAATATATGAGCTGAACAAAACTACATTTTCTACAAAATGTCAAAATGGCTGCCCTACAGATCATACCCCAAAAATAATAGAAAAAGGGTGATATCACTGAAGGATACCAGCACAAGTTTAAATTCAGCTTCACGTTCCTCGTAACGTACTCCAAGAGCTTCATTGTCAGATTTCATTTTACTCTTCCTTCATTTTGTTTCCACACAAACAATCTCTGTAAGGTCATGTGGAGGGTATATTTCTACATTAGTCAAATCTACGAATGCAAGGTCTTGAAATTGTCCCCAATCTTTGTTTAGAATGCAGACAGTAATATTTGAATTGAGGGTGTAGTGGTTAAAATGAAAACCAATGCAACATTACAATGAAGACTGTAAATAATTACCCATTTATGAAATACAAGTAATGAGAAACAAGAGTTTGCAGGGATAGAAATACTCTACTCTCTAAGTGTGCCTTAGGGCACCAGGCAAATATTTTAGGTGTGCCTTTCAGAAATCAGGTGTGCCCACGTGTTTTTAGAATAAATGACTGTAGAAAGGATGATCTTTTGAAATTTATTGTCAGAAAACAGCAAATGTAACCAGTTTTCTGTTATCACTGATATGTCTTCTGTTATGGCTTTCTTATGTTTCATTTGTTCTACTTTCCCAACACCTTTAAAAGCTAAGAATTGTGTGAGAGGTTATCTTGTTCAACATATCTTACATACACAATTTCCAACTGAACTACATGTATTAGTACTCCCAACACTCTAAATGACCAGATTTATCTATATCATCCATCATAATTCCAGTGATTTCCTGGGCGTAAAAGTCAATAAATGTTTTTGCATGTTTGTCATTTGCTTAGTGTTTTGTTTGGGGATTATTATTATTATTTTTTACAGATTAAAGATTGTATGCAGCAGAGAGGGTTCGGGTGATCCTGGCACAGTTAGGCTGGTAAGGCTCATCATCAGCTCAGGGCCCTTGCCCCCTCTACACGCAGCCCAGACAGTGAATGGGACTTCTCCCAGGAAACGCTGCCTAGTCGAACCCACCAAGAACTTTCCGGAGAATATGAAGGCTCCCCAACACTGCAGCCTTCTGCATTACCCAGAGTTTCAGAAGAGCTGTACTCCCGGTGGAGAACCCAGGCACTCTCCTGATCTGCGCCAAGAGATCAGGAGGTACCAAACCAAGGACACCGAGAACAATGGGGAGCCTGACGACAGTGTACTTGGGATGCAAGCGAGACATTTCAAAGGAGAGGTCCGCATATTTATCATGCTTTTCCTTAATCTTGCCAATCACATTGGTGTCAAAAGGGACAGAAAATTCTATGATTTAAATAAATTCATTGGCTTTATCAAAAAGGACAAGATCAGGTTTGTTAGCTGGAATTCTTCTGAGGCTGTATATAGGCCTATTCCAGAGAAGTTTGAAAGCATCATTTTCCATGACGCCCTGGACATGTTTAGTGTCGTACCATGGATGGACCTCGGAGTCAAAGCCACAGGCATGTCGGAAACGGTAGTAAAAGCAACGAGCTATGCCATCATGTCGTTTAAGATATGCTGTTTGTGCCAAGGAAGGGCATCCACTGACAAGGTGTTCCACAGTCTCTGTAAATTCATTGCAAAGTCGACATTTCATGTTAATATTCTCTTTAAGAATCACATTTAGGCGATTACGAGTGGGAAGTGACTGGTCCTTAGAAGCAAAAAGGAAGCCCTCAGTTTCACATTTAAGACCAGCCGACTTCATCCAGGCGAAGGAGTCGGTGGGATTGCTATTCTGTTCAACACACTGCATGTACACACGATGCAAGAAGAAAGCTTCTCCACAAAAGACCGACTCTTGGCAGACTTGGTAAAGGACTTCATCTGGTTTACTCCCATCGTTGTATCGTCCAGCAGTACATTGCCATCAGCAAAGTCAACCTCGAGTTTCAGATTCTGTCCAACAGCCTTGGCACGCTTAAAATAGGTGTGGAATTCGTTGCTGTCATCATGAGTCTTCACATGCATCACCAGAGGATCATCCGATAAATAAATATGTGCAAAAGTACACAATACAATTCTGTCATGAAGAGCCTCCACATTAATCAAACCTCGACCACCAGAATTGATTGGCATATATAAACGGTTAAGAGAGGAACGAGGGTGGTGGGCTCTGTTATCAGACATGATCCTTCTGGTCAGGCGGTTAAGGCTCTGGATGTCTTGTTTCGTCCAGCCAACTACTCCAAAGGAATAGGAGAGGACTGACACAGCAAAAGTAATGGTGGCTTTGACCTTGTTACAAGCATTTAGCTCTGAGCTCCAGATTTTCTTTAAACGAGATTTGTACTCGGCCCGAAGTTTTTCTTGAATTTGGGCATTCTGGACCTTGTCTCGAACTTGCATTCCAAGATAGGTGTAGCCCTGATCTTCCACAAGATGCTCAATAACTCCTCCCCCTTGTAACCTGACCGACCCATCATTAACTACCTTGCCACGTTTCAAATGAAGAGTATTACATTTGTCGAGTCCAAATTTCATGCCAATATCATTAGAAAAGGACTCGACAAGGAGAACCTGCTCTTTCAAATTGGAATCTCCTTTGGCAATGAGCTCGATATCTTCCATGTAGAGGAGATGAGTAAGAGGTGTTGAGGATCTGTGCTGAGGAGGTCCGGGACGGTAACCCTCCTCTCCGTTTTGCAGAAAGCTCAAAGGATTTAAAGACAAACAAAAAAGCAAAGGACTAAAGGAGTCCCCCTGGAAAATTCCCCTTCTGATTGGAATGGATTCCGAAGTCTGCACCTGCCCTTGCGAGTACATCTCAAGTTTTGTCGACCAGCAACTCATTAAAGACTTGAGTAAAGGGAGGTCAATACAATGAAGAGACTTCAGAATCCATTCGTGAGGAACAGAGTCGTATGCTTTTTTGTAGTCAATCCAGCACATGGAGAGGTTGCGGTGATATGCTTTAGCCTCTTCCAAAATCATTTTTTGTACAAGAAGTTGATCCTTGCACCCCCAACATCCCTTTCTCGACCCCTTCTGTTCTCTGTAAATTATATCATTGGAAGAGCAGTAAGATGACACGAGGTTTGTTAAACACCCTGTGAATATTTTGTATTGTGTATTCAAACATGTGATAGGGCGGAAGTTTTTGGGATCAGTCAAGTGTCCTTTCTTGGGAAGGAGTATTGTGCGACCTTTGCAGAACCATGGAGGAACATCACCTGTGTCCACAAGAGAATTGAAACAGTGAAGTAATGGTGTTTGGACACAGGGGAACAGTTTCCAATACCGGTTTTGAATGCCATCAGGCCCTGGAGCTGTATTAGATTTGGACTTTTTGATGACACTTTTCAGGCAATCTGGTGAGATGTAACAGACAAACGACCTATTTACTTTCTCATGAATTGCATGGTCATAATCACGGACCCATGGTGCCTCAAGGTTACAGTCGCCGGGTATAGACCACAACTGTTTCCAGAACCTTTCATTGGCATCCATGGAAGGCCGTTAATCATGCTCACCATCACCCTTTGGTTTCAGTTGCCTGTAGAAGTGTTTTTCATTATTTCTAAAAAGTTTATTTTGTTTGATGAATTTATTTTTCTTTTCCCATTTTTTTTTTCTTTCAGTCCAAACTTCTATTTTTGCCTTAAGGGAATCGACAATTTGAAGAAGTACCTTTTCTTTTGTTGTCTTGTACTGCAATTTTAAGTTTCTCCAAATTGTCTTTTGCCGTTTTGACACTGGACTCCCTGATGATCTTAGTTTCAGGCACAGCTCTATCCAGGAATTATTATTATGTTTTACAGATTAAAGACAATATGCAGCAGAGAGGGTTCGGGTGATCCTGGCACAGTTAGGCTGGTAAGGCTCATCATCAGCTCAGGGCCCTTGCCCCCTCTACACGCAGCCCAGACAGCGAATGGGACTTCTCCCAGGAAACGCTGCCTAGTCGAACCCACCAAGAACTTTCCGGAGAATATGAAGGCTCCCCTGGACATGTTCAGGGTCGTAGCATGGATGGACTTCGGAGTCAAAGCCACAGGCATGTCGGAGACGGTAGTAAAAGCAACGAACCATGCCATCATTATTATTATTATTATTATTATTATTATTATTATTATAGGATATTTATATAGCGCACATATCCACGCTCTAGTGCATGCTCAAGGTGCTGGTAATTAAATGACTAAAGGTGAGTTATGTCTCTAAAAATAATTAGGCGTGCCATAAGGGCACCGAGAACATTTTTATCCATGCCATTTCAATATTTACCGTGCCATGGCACCCTAATATATGGGGTATTTCAAACCCTGGTTTGGTTATGTGGCCAATTGATCTACTAACGACACTAGATATTCCCCACAGAGTATTAATCTATGATAACAAACAATAGCTGACATTTTGCCAGGTGGCATGATGCCATATCTCCTTGCCCTATCAACATGTATCTGGCCTACTGATACCAGAGGGTCTATTTTAAACGGTTATTACACCAGCGTCAGCACGATCACATACAGCTATCACAGTGTTTGCGTGATCAGGAATTTGTGTACTCATTATAACAGTTCAGATAAACTTTGACAAGTCAGTCTGACTGGAAACCAGGGATTGATCTGTGATTCAAAACAAGGGCCTCTTTGCAGGCAAATTGGGTTATTTTTTTTTTATAGTTTTGTTCAAATTGAAGATTTAATTGTTTTGTTCTTGTTTGCCTAACTTACATGAAATATTTTAATACTGAATTCAAATGAGTAATAAAAAACTAAACATTAAATCCTTTCCTCCTCATTAGATAATATATGACATGTATTAATTCCATTTGGGGAATTTGTTGTTGGTGAATAATGTCTGAATTATAGCTTCTGAGCAGGTTGTAAAACATCACTGGGAATTCATGGTTGCAGCATAATAAGTGGTAAAATAGCCTGTATGACTTTTTAAGGACATTTGCACTCATGACAAATGTTTGACTGAGAGGACATAAGTGGGGATGCAGTCACTGCAGAATTTATATCTCACGGCTGCAACAAAATTACAAGATAATGAATTCCAATATATTCGGCAAATTATGAAACACATAACAATAAATTTGTACATATCTTTTCTGCATACTAAAGCTGTTGGTAACAGCATATTAAATAAACAAAACAGCAATACTGGCAGTAAAACTTACAAAAATATCAGTAATAACAAAAATACATTATATTCAGGTGAAAAAATGATTACCCTTACTTCTAGTATATATGCATAGACCCATTACTATAGATTTCATGTCCGTACTGTGGATACCATATATTTCACTACCTCACGAAACAGCCTCAACTAATCATGGTCATTCTTAAATAATCGTTATCATTTTGGGACACATAAGCTCATAATCAACAAACCTGATCCACAAGCAACCAACAAGCCAACGCCAAAGTGAACTTGACTTTCCCTATTTTGTGTGTGTGTTTATTACACATCTTGCACAGAAAACAGCAATACAGAATGTGTGTATGAATACCGAAGAGACATATATTATTACTGAGATGGTTTCAGTTTCACTTAGCATCTAAACTAAGTTTGTTCATTTCAGTTTTTTAAAACCAGCTTAACACAAGTATGGTGTCAATAAGTGCAAACTTTCCAATGTCTCACCAAACAGGGCACTTATCACAGGAAAATATTGTACCTGGTATATAGATTAAGGGAGAGAGTTTAACAGGGAGTTTATAAATGAGAGAGATTATACGTGTGTACAGCTCAGCTGTCTGCCATACTTACAACTGAGTCACGTTTCAAGTAGTCATGCTGATCTGCTCTATCCATGGGCTTGTCCATCCACACCTGCAGCCTTTCCACCTCCCTTCCAACCCCCTTAAGGGGCTGGTAAGTTGATTTTCTGCAATTTCAACATCATCTGCAAATAAAATCCCAGGTGATTTCCAGGTACTATACTGTTTGGAGTCTGAAGGGTTGCAAACAAATTGGCAGTATTTTTTATTTCATAGCAACTCTAGCTGCTGAAACACAGATATACTGGGACCTCAGTGTACAATGTGTGAAGCCCATTTCTGGTGTTCCCCGCTGTGATATTGCATGAATATTGCTAATATGGCCAGTCTATAAACTGAATTTAGTTATAACAATTTGTACCAATGTTATGCACACCATAGCATAAAAACACCAAGAGTGTTTTTGTTTTTTTCCACAAAGGTATCTTTTATAAGCATAAACTATTTCAGACACACCATCAACTGATGAATTTTCATCCAAAAGAAACCATCCCACTTTTTTATTAGGGCACTATGTAATGACACCTTTTTAAAAATAGGTTGAGGTACACATTTTGTTTTGAAGTCCTTGTCCTAAACTTGATACAAGCATGGGGATTTTAGGTAAACAGGTCTACTAGCCTGACACGAGTGCCTCCACCATGGAGCTTTATGTAACTGGACATCTGAGTCAGGTGGCACACATTTTGTGACAAAGTCAGACGCCTAACCCGCTCCTCGGATGGGACTCAACCCCACACAAGTACTAGAACCTGTAGTTTACTAAGAAAGTGTAATCCCAAATATAACATATGTTCTTTTAACCTATAATAAGCCTAAAGTTAAAGTTTGCCTTCCACCACAATGAGTGGCAGGTGGAGACAGTGGGGGAATGTGGTATAAGCTGTAAAGTACACACCTCCCACATACACTTACCTGGCTGAAATGAACACAGTTACACGCCCAACCCAACTGTCAACTTCTCTGAAACTGTCAGTTCTATTTTCTGTTTCTCTTACGGGAATACGAAATGCCACGAGTAAGATAACAGAAACGAAAGTAGAAAGAGTCTATCTCTAAAGGGAGATAATTCAGGCAACACCTTATGCCTACCCGCTAATTATTGCTGTTTTCGAGGGTTTCTCGAAAAGGGTGGCATCGGATTTCTGTTAAGAGGTTGGTCAAATATAATTTTTGTGTTGTGCGAAAATGAGTGCTTTGAACAACAAGCACACAGCACCTCACCAATCAAACCAATCTGCTGGTTTTGGAAGATACCTGTTGCATGTTCTCTCAGCCTGGAAGATTAAATGCCAGTTTTTATTCCAATGCATATGCTTTTGTAATTATTGTTAGAGTACTTATACCCTCAATCAACAGAGACTAAGGATACCTCATTCCATCCGCCTACAATGAACTGATACCAACAACAGAAAAGAGCACTCCAGATATCATTGCCAATTAATCCCATCTTCTATGTATACCTTGTTCTGCCTCCTCTACCTTGGTTTCCTCCCATCGTTATTGTATTATTACCTACCCTATCTGCTATGTATACCTTGTTCCCCCTCCTCTACCTTGGCTTCCTCCAATTGTTATTGTATTAGTACCTACCCCATCTGCTATTGATACCTTGTTCCGCCTCCTCTAATTTGGCCTCCTTCCATGGTTATTGTATTATTACCTACCCCATCTGCTATGTATACCTTGTTCCGCCTCCTCTACCTTGGCTTCCTCCCATTGTTATTGTATTAGTACCTACCCCATCTGCTATGTATATCTTGTTCCGCCTGCTCAACCTTGGTTTCCTCCCATCGTTATTGTATTATTACCTACCCCTTCTGCTATGTACACCTTGTTCCGCCTCCTCTACCTTGGTTTCCTCTCATTGTTATTGTATTATTACCTACCCGGTCTGCTATGTATACCTTGTTCCGCCTCCTCTACCTGGGTTTCCTCTCATTGTTATTGTATTATTTCTTATCCCGATCAGCTATGTCTACCTTGTTCCGCCTCCTCTACCTTGGCTTCCTCCCATTGTTATTGTATTATTACCTACCCCATCTGCTATGTATACTTTGTTCCGCCTCCTCTACCTTGGTTTCCTCTCATTGTTATTGTATTATTACCTACCCCATCTGCTATTGATACCTTGTTCCCCCTCCTCTACCTTGGCTTCCTTCCATGGTTTTTGTATTATTACCTACCCCATCTGCTATGTATACCTTGTTCCGCCTCCTCTACCTTGACTTCCTCCCATTGTTATTGTATTAATACCTATCCCATCTGCTCTGTATACCATTTTTCCGCCTCCTCTACCTTGGTTTCCTCCCATTGTTATTGTATTATTACCTACTCCATCTGCTATGTATACCTTGTTCCGCCTCCTATACCTTGGTTTCCTCTCATTGTTATTGTATTATTACCTACCCCATCTGCTATGTATATCTTATTCCGCTTCCTCAACCTTGGCTTCTTCCCATTGTTATTGTATTATTACCTACCCCATCTGCTATGTATATCCTGTTCCGCTTCCTCAACCTTGGCTTCTTCCCATTGTTATTGTATTATTACCTACCCCATCTGCTATGTACACCTTGTTCCGTCTCCTCAACATTGGCTTCCTCCAATTGTTATTGTATTATTACCTACCCCATTTGCTATTTATACCATTTGTTCCATATTCTTCCTCAACCTTGGCTTCCCTCCCATTGTTATTGGCTTCTTCCCATTGTTATTGTATTATTACCTACCCCATTTGCTAAGTTATATATTCTTCCGCTTCCTCAACCTTGGCCTTCCTCCCATTGTTATTGTATTATTACCTACCCCATCTGCTATGTATATATTTGTTCCGCTTCCTCAACCTTGGCTTTCCCTCAAATTGTTATTGTATTATTACCTCAACCTTGGCCCATTGTTAGTGCTATGTATATCTGTATATTCTTCCGCTTCCTCAACCTTGGCTTCTTCCCATTGTTATTGTATTATTACCCTACCCTATGTATATCTATGTATATATTGTTCTTCTTCCTCATTGTTTGGCTTCCTCCCATTGTTATTGTATTATTCCGCTTCCTACCTTGGCTTCCTCCCATTATGTATATGCTATGTATATCTTGATCTGCTTCCTCAACCTTGGCTTCCTCCGTTTGTTATTGTATTATTACCTACACGGTCTGCTATGTATATCTTGATCCGCTTCCTCAACCTTGGCTTTCTCCCATTGTTATTGTATTATTACCTACCCCATCTGCTATGTATATCTTGTTCCGCCTGCTCTACCTTGGTTTCCTCCCATCGTTATTGTATTATTACCTACCCCTTCTGCTATGTATACCTTGTTTTGCCTCCTGTACCTTGGTTTCCTCCCATTGTTATTGTATTATTACCTACCCCATCTGCTATGTACACCTTGTTCCGCCTCCTCTACCTTGGTTTCCTCCCATTGTTATTGTATTATTACCTACCCGATCTGCTATGTATACCTTGTTCCACCTCCTCTATCTTGGTTTCCTCCCATGTTATTGTATTATTACCTACCCTATCTGCTATGTATACCTTGTTCCCCCTCCTCTACCTTGACGTCCTCCAATTGTTATTGTATTACCCACCCCATCTGCTATGCAGACCTTTGTTCCTGTTCTCCCTCAACAATGGCCTCCTCCCATTGTTATTGTATTAGTACCTACCCCATCTGCTATTTATACCTTGTTCCGCCTCCTCTAATTTGGCCTCCTTCCATGGTTATTGTATTACTTACCCACCCCATCTGCTATGTATATCTTGTTCCGCCTCCTCTACCTTGGCTTCCCTCCCATTGTTATTGTATTATTACCTATCCCATCTGCTATGTACACCTTGTTCCGCCTCCTCTACCTTAGCTTCCTCCCATGGTTATTGTATTATTACCTACCCCATCTGCTATGTATACCTTGTTCCGCCTCCTCTACCTTGACTTCCTCCCATTATTATTGTATTAATACCTATCCCATCTGCTCTGTATACCATTTTTCCGCCTCCTCTACCTTGGTTTCCTCCCATTGTTATTGTATTATTACCTACTCCATCTGCTATGTATATATTGTTCCGCCTCCTCTACCTTGGTTTCCTCTCATTGTTATTGTATTATTACCTACCCCATCTGCTATGTATATCTTGTTCCGCTTCCTCAACCTTGGCTTCTTCACATTGTTATTGTATTATTACCTACCCCATCTGCTATGTATATCCTGTTCCGCTTCCTCAAACTTGGCTTCTTCTCATTGTTATTGTATTATTACCTACCCCATCTGCTATGTACACCTTGTTCCGTCTCCTCAACATTGGCTTCCTCCCATTGTTATTGTATTATTACCTACCCCATCTGCTATGTATACCTTGTTCCGCTTCCTCAACCTTGGCTTCTTCCCATTGTTATTGTATTATTACCTACCCCATTTGCTATGTTTATATTCTTCCGCTTCCTCAACCTTGGCTTCCTCCCATTGTTATTGTATTATTACCTACCCCATCTGCTATGTATATCTTGTTCCGCTTCCTCAACCTTGGCTTCCTCCCATTGTTATTCTATTATTACCTACCCCATCTGCTATGTATATCTTGTTCCGCTTCCTCAACCTTGGCTTCTTCCCATTGTTATTGTATTATTACCTACCCCATTTGCTATGTATATATTCTTCCGCTTCCTCAACCTTGGCTTCTTCCCATTGTTATTGTATTATTACCTACCCCATCTGCTATGTATATCTTGTTCCGCTTCCTCAACCTTGGCTTCTTCCCATTGTTATTGTATTATTACCTACCCCATTTGCTATGTACATATTCTTCCGCTTCCTCAACCTTGGCTTCCTTCCATTGTTATTGTATTATTACCTACCCCATCTGCTATGTATATATTGTTCCGCTTCCTCAACTTTGGCTTCTTCCCATTGTTATTGTATTATTACCTACCCCATTTGTTATGTATATATTCTTCCGCTTCCTCAAACTTGGCTTCCTCCCATTGTTATTGTATTATTACCTACCCCATCTGCTATGTATATCTTGTTCCTGCCTGCTCTACCTTTGTTATTGTTTCCTCCCATCGTTATTGTATTATTACTCACCCCATCTGCTATGTATACCTTGTTTTGCCTCCTGTACCTTGGTTTCCTCCCATTGTTATTGTATTATTACCTACCCCATCTGCTATGTACACCTTGTTCCGCCTCCTCTACCTTGGTTTCCTCCCATTGTTATTGTATTATACCTACCCCTTCCTACCCCCTCCTCAACTTTGCTATGTACCTACCTATGTTCCACCTCCTCTATTTTATTTTCCTTCTACTGTTATTGTATTATTACCTACCCCATCCATATGTATATATTCTTCCGCTTCCTCAACCTTTGGTTTCCTCCCATTGTCATTGTATTATTATTTCCACCCCATCTGCTATGTATATCTTGTTCCGCTTTCCTCAACCTTGGCTTCTTCCCATTGTTATTGTATTATTACCTACCCCTTCATATGTATACCTTTGTTCCACCTCCTCTATTTTGGCTTCCTTCTACTGTTATTGTATTATTACTTACCCCATTTGCTATGTATATATTCTTCCGCTTCCTCAACCTTGGCTTCCTCCCATTGTTATTGTATTATTACCTACCCCATCTGCTATGTATATCTTGTTCCGCTTCCTCAACCTTGGCTTCTTCCCATTGTTATTGTATTATTACTCCACCCCATTTGCTATGTATATATTCTTCCGCTTCCCTCAACCTTTTGGCTTCCTCCCATTGTTATTGTATTATTACCTACCTGGTCTGCTATGTATATCTTGTTCCGCTTCCTCAACTTTATTTCCTCCCATTGTTATTGTATTATTACCTCCACCCTATTTGCTATATGTACATATTCTTCCGCTTCCTCAACCTTGGCTTCCTCCCATTGTTATTGTATTATTACCTACCCCATCTGCTATGTATATCTTGTTCCGCCTGCTCTACCTTGGTTTCCTCCCATCGTTATTGTATTATTACCTACCCCATTTGCTATGTATACCTTGTTCCGCCTCCTCTA